CAAAATAACCCACAAGATGAATTAATATAATGGATTTAAACATTGCTAAATAAATGAAAGCATACATATAAACGAGTTGCAAGCAATAAACCAAACCAGAGATGTAAAGATAAGGGAACGCAAGAATTTACGTGGTTCGGTCAACTGACCTACGTCCACGGGAAACGAATGCAATATTTTATTGAAATAGTAGCTGAAATTTTGAAACATATCAACAAGGACTCCTTTGTTGTACACATAAGCACAACTTACATCATATAAACAATATATAACATGCAAGTTCTCATTACTTCTCTTCCTTAGTGCAGCCACAATCTTCTCACATCCAACTACAATAACAATCAACAACCGAAAAAGAACAGAAATCCGGAGCATAGGAGTATTTCTTGCGGTGGAAGGCATGCATTGCAAGCAAGAAATACAAAATTAAAGGTAGTAGACAAAATAACAGTGTACAGAGTTTGTGCAAGTTGCATCGCATGGTTTCCAATATTACAATAGTTCACAATATATCTAACACATGATAAAGGCAAATTAGATTTGTATCGCATGGTTTCCAATATTGCAAGCAAAGCCCACTTTGTTGAGAGAGTTCTTGAAGATGATCAAATATTGATTAATGAAGCATAAATATTCTATGAATGTCACATAAAGGCTTCTACTAAAAAGTTGCACACCCATCCAGAGTTCTCAAGAACACTGAACAGTAAATGCATTAAAATGCATTAATGAGAACGTTGAACATTACAAATTTGCAATATACCCAGATAATGCTTTAATCAAAATGTAGTGTTACTAATGAGTACACTATAAAGTAAAACACATGTCATGCGTAAGCTCAGCTCAAGCTTGAAAACAGATTGAAGTACAATACTGAACAGTAAATGCTAGGCTCAATTCAAATTATTTACAACCCAAATCATCAATATGAGTGGCCTTATGCCACCTACTTGTAGTCTGCTTTTCAAACACTTTATTTTCTTCATTCCAATTAGAGTGTTGCACGCAGTGTGCTTTATATTGAGCAAATCTTTTGGCATAACTTTGCAAACATTTTGATATAGCTTTTTTCTTTTAAAATACTTCCATACTAACAATATATGCCATCCCCAAGAAAGAAATTGATGTCTACTCATAACCTCTAATAGATGAGCTTCAAACATTATTGGAAACAA